GCCGTCAGACAGGCTCCATGCCCGCAGGGGTCAGCAGTCGCACAGCTCCCTAGCAGCGGAGGTGGCCATGCTCTTAGACTGGAAAAAGCTGCAGCAAGAAGGAAGAGTCCAGAGCTGTGCAAGACTAGAAAACATTCTCTTTACAGACTCTCTGAGCCACAGATTTCAGTGTTTTGCAAAGTAACAGAGGGGATTCAGAGAAGACATGAGAGAGCACTGTCAGCGCCGAAACAGCAAGCAGGAGTCTGACAGCAGGGCTATGTGCGGTCTCAGCAGCAGAGAGCGCACCGCTGCATCTCCCCAGAGCTTACCTTGGCTGTCGATAACACTTTGTACCACCTCCTCCAGCCCCACCATGTAGATGAACTCGCTGTTGGCTGCGCTGGGCAGGAAGTGAAGCAGGGGTGCAGGTGGCTTTGGGGGTGGAATCTCCAGCAGTGTCTTTTCCAGTTGCTTGCGCAGGGCAAGCTTGGCAGCTGCCTGGGAATTGGCGGCATCGTTCAGAGCACTGGGGCTGGGGAGCGGAGACGACACCCTGTTCACAGTGCCAGGCTGGATGTGAGAGGCAAGATTCATATAGATGGCTGAAGACGACGTACGCTGGCAAGGAACAGAAGAACTTGATTGCTGGAGAGAAAGAAGAGATGAGGATTAACACAGCTCTGACATCTATGCCAGAAGAGAGACTTGTGCTCACACTGTCCCTTGCTACGGCTCAGATAGTACAGGTAGCTTGGAGAAGCCAGATGGCCTTCTTACAATCCTCCTTCTGTCTGCAAACGTTACCGAAGGGATCTGGGGAGACAGGAGCCACGCTGGGATCCAGGAGCAGGGAGCATGCCTCGGCCTCTACAACAAAGTCATCGGCAACACAGACACCAGGGAGTCAAGGACCTGCGACGATGCAATACAATCAGCACAGAAAGGACTTGGTGTCCAGAGCAGCCGAAGGAGTTCGACGGTCAAGGGAACGTGTGTACAGGGCCCAGGCTCGGCCTGCGCTCAGGAGCCAGCGTCAGCCTCGCGTGGCACGTAGGCAGCACCGAGCGCCGTGATTCACTTGCTGGCACCATTGTTCACTGTCAAGTTATGCTCCTCCACCTTTTGCTTCATTGATCTGGCACGCACCCAAGCAGCATCCCCACTGCCAGATGGTGTCCATCCCCTCCCACACAGGTGCTCAGAGTGTGCCAATTCCCTCCTCTTCCATTTCCAGTAGCTTTCTTCTGCATCCTCCGTTCATTTGGATTCCCAGTCCCCCGATTCCTCTGGCACGTGACAGTAACAAAGCACAAAGACTTCTGCTGACCTGATGATGCAGCTTCCACAGTCTTTTGTGAAACGAAGCCATCAGCCTGCAACCTATTTAAGCACAGACACTGCTGCTGCCAGCCTTTCATATACCCTGCCTATTTCTTGGGGTATGAACATTTCGGTGCGTGCAAAGGGGAAAATCCCCAACAGTAGCAAACTCACTCAGCAATTCAAACAGTGTCAATTACCAAGGCTGAGGCGACAACCTCATGCTGATCAAGAATAACATATAAAAGATTAAAAAAAGGTGGTGGTGGTGGTGGGGAAGTCTGACTGACTAGAATACTGCTAATGCTTTGCTGATGGGGAAAAAGAGGCAGACAACCAAGCTAATCCTAGAGCAGATAATCTGACATAGGTGCAGGCAAAATAATGAGCTGATCAAGGATAACTGACGCAGACTTAAACAAAAAGATGATAAATTAACAGCAATGCACTTAAAACAAAGAGTTGTATCAATCAAGCACATAATTAGGTCTGTTTGACAGTTGTTTAGATGCAAGACTTCTATTGTTGTGTAGTCATGTTTATAATTTACCAGTTTGTACTATACCATTGTTAGGACACATTAAATGGCTTAAGAACTAGCTAACTAACCCTAACAGGAATTGACAGCGGTTGTTAACCTGGGCCTGTGTAAACATGAGGCATCTCAGCTGGATGTTATAGTCTGGGACAAGGAACAAAGACTGCGCCACAGAATGGGGAAACGCGTCCCGGGAAACAAGTCGTTACGCTCAGTCCCAGCAACAAGCTCTCAGTGCAGTAACAGCGCAAAGGGACAACCACAACTCCTGGATAAACAAGCAATAGGAAAGAAAAATGCAAGAGAAAGATTTTTATGGCTTTACGCAGCATTGAGGAGACCAGTGCTAGAATTGGAAAATGCTAGTCTTCTCCTCTCTGTTTACAGTCTTAAGTAGTCTGACTTTTGAAAGTAAAAAGAACAGTTTTTAAGGGTCCTGTTCCTGGACTGCAGGGAGTTTGCTGCACACTTCTGTTGGAGAGAAGCATAAAAAGAAACTCCACGACTCATTACTGATGCGCGGCTGACTACACTCCCACAAAAAGAGAAGCTACACCTTCTCACAACTAGTCACCCTGCTTCACTAGGGTCTTCAGTGTTGTCATTCCAGGAGGAGAGTAGTCCTGTGTTTGGTTTTGATGAACAACTGCTTTGGTAGCTGCCAGCTCCACAATAGGAAGTTTTTCATTATTTATCATTCCATTATTTTATGCAGGTCAAGGACGTTTGTCTTTGTCCGTGCTTCAGATACGTTTCCATCCGTAAGCTTCGCTCTAATGTCTTCATTCTGAGCTCTGCACATCTCCATGGGATTAATCAGCCTCATAAGGCACTTCCTCTTCTCCTTTCCTACTAACCCACTAGGCAACCAAGCCCAAAATTGGCAACAGAGAAGTAACCTACCGGTTGGTAGTTGATGGCTGGATTCATGCTTGGAGTTGTAGTGCGGATGAGACCAGGTTTAGGAGGAACACGCTGCCCTTGTAACTGGGCAGGGTTTGGAGCAATCACACGCTGCGACATAAGCATATGGGGCAGAGTCGTATTTGTGGCAGACCTAATGACACTGTGACCCTGTCAAGAAAGGAAACAAGAAATAGGAAAGAAAAAAAAAAAAAAAAAGGGTCTTGAGGCAAACCAGGATTTTTAGTTCCCTGATCAGGCTCTGCAACAACTGAGCATTTCCACTAATCTGTAACTGAAGTTACTTTCCACCATGGTCCATTGAGATACTACTTGAAGAACTGAACACAACTTTTCCTAAAATTGTTATTTATTTTAAATAATTTTTTTTCCATTTTGCCCGTAATTGAGGGCTTCTCAGATTAGCATATTTGTATTTTCTGTAAAGAGGTTGGAATTTTATGCGAGTCAAGAAAAGGAGTATTAATCTTGTGGAGCAATCACTTCCAAACAGCCAACCAGCTCACTAGAAAGAGGACCTCCATGCTCTAGGCTGAGAATTTTCATCTCCTGAAGCATCCCAAGACACACTTCCAGGGCCTATATTTCAAACCCTCTGCATTAAAAACAAACCAAGCTAATTTGATCAATATGTAAAAGTGCAAGGGGAAGAAGAGGGGGAAAAAGCACCAAAGGAAAAAAGGGGGAAAAAAAGCAGGTAGTTCGCCAGCTATACAGAAAGCTATTAAAAGCAAGTGCCAGAATTCACAACGCTTGCAGTGGTGCCTGAGCTGAAAGCAAAACAGTTACGAGACTTCTGACTAACACGGAGATGGGTTTTGCCTTCAGTCCAGGAACACAGAGGTGTGTAACAAATCTTGAACTGCTGTTGTGGCAATGATTACAGCAAACTGACCACAGGCTGAGACCAAGAGACCTGTCCAGGCTTCACGTAACATGCACAGCTCAGGGAAAGTTCTTTGCATTTCTGAACACCATCCTAATGGTTCAAATGGGAAAACGACAGGTAGAAGGGCTGGAATATTTTGTCAAAGACAATCTTAAAACTTTAAACATCTCATGTCTGTCAATGTTTTTCCCCACTTGTTCTATATGAGGTTCTTCAGTGTCACCCATAAGAAAACCTTCACAAAGGCTGTGCAAACAATGTATTTCCTCCTTCCTTAAAGCCCGTTTCCTTTACCAGTCTGATCCCACTGCGAAGTCACAATAGACATGACCCCAGAATCGTTGCCATAGCAAAGAAAACAAACGTCCCAAACAAAAGAGATGGTTAATGGGGGAGTAAATGATCAGCAAGATTGAAATGAAAGTCTGTGGCAAAAGCATGCGAGAAAGCTACAGGCAGTTAAGACATCAGAGCATCACGCACTTCCCATACACCATCTTCCCAGTCGCTGCCAGTGCCCGACAACGCTGCTTCCCAGGTGCATCACTGGGGCTTTGTATATTCTAATACACAAACACACACACACAGCCTCCTGCTAAAAGGTCAAAGTGCATTTTGTGATGTTTCGGAGCTCTGCTTTCCCACTGAAGTCATTCATTTAGGCTGAGAATCTTACCCAGGTCTGCCAGGGCAAACCACCACAGTTCATCTCCTGCCCGAGCCCAAACTGAATGGAGTCCGACGGCAGGGAACACGCCAGGCTGCCCTCAACCCAGAGCAGGCAAGGAGCAAAGTGCACATGTGCAAGCAGTTTTAAATCCTGTAGTTACTTGAGGCAACCCTAATCTAAGGACACTTTTCAGCGGTCACCTTGACCAGGCTATGAGGAATGCGTGCCTAGAGCAGCACGCAGGGCTTCCTCCTGGAGGAGCATGCATCCACCCCAGACTCGAGAGCACCTCCAACAGAGCAGGGCTGTTTTGCCAGCTAGCAAACAGGAACACTTGGGGAGGGGATAGGAGAGAGTGCCTCAAGATGGCAGGGAACTCCACGCCCTACAGCAGACCTGGACGAAGTGCCAAGAAAAAAATCCCTATCGCTCATTAGCGTAAACACCCCACTCCACACACACACTCCGAGTGCCCTCCTTCCAGTGAGCTCATACTGTTGGCTTTCTGTTTATCTGTGCAACATTAAACAACTGTGACATCTAGAATTAGCATTCTTCCAGCACACATACAGCAAGGTATCTGTGTCAGACAGCACCCTGCTCTGTCTATAGTACTTTCCCAAAGAAGGTAAACATTTCAATTCCATGTTTTGTTTGCATTTTTCCTCAGCGTCTTCCTCTGGCCGTCCTGTACTGTCTCAAAACACACAGTTCTGCTGACCAGTCGTTCTGCTGCTAAGTGCAGGCTAAAACTTTTCTTCCTATAAGCCCAGGACTTGCACTTGGCATGCGTTACCAAGCAGCAGACAACTTTTTCAGGGTTATCCTCACCTTTTTAATAAATTAGCCCCTTCCATCTCCTGTGACCCTAAATTGCTGGCAGTATTAACCTCCGAACCTCTCTACTGAAGAGCTACTGCTTCTGAAGTGGCAGAGAATCACCAGAACCCCACATCCACATCCTGCGTTACAAAACCAGGAGGTGCAAAAATCTGGGGCAGGCACAAAGTACCGTGGAGATGCCTCAGTTTCAGCTTTAGACATGACCTTACCTGTAAAGAGAATTTCCCATACCAACTGTGGAACATCAGGACTGCAGCCTAGTCTAGTTATCTGGTCTGTAATAGTGGTCGCTGCTTTTACTTCCATGGCTTTGTGACCGCACAAGACAGACTGTTCTATTCATAGTGTTGAGAACTGCCAACATTTATCTTCCTCTTGGAAGAGGCATCTCAGTCAATTGGGACAACTGACTTGCATGCAACAGATGCATTCATTTTCACTGTGCAGAGACAAACGTGCAGCATTACGCATGCAACAAGCAGATTTACAGTTCTCTGCACAAAAACGCTGCAATAACAGAAAACAGCATCAGGAAGGCTCACCTGTAATGTCCTTAAGTTCTGAGGCTCAACCCCCTGAGCTCCAGGCCTGGAGGGAAGCTTGGACAGTCCCTGCTGTCCCACATGAGCAGGAGATGGCTGTACAATAGACGCTGCATTCTGGACAACAGGAGTCTAGATTGAGAGAGAACGAATACCAGCATCAACACGTATCGCCTAGGAAAGAAATCCATTGACAGACCCAATGTTGACCAGCCTAATCAATGATAAATCAAATATTAATACTTCAGAGCTGCACAAATTTACCCTCTCAGCTGACCTCAAGGGCAGCAAGCTAGGCTGGACTACGGATTTGCTACAGCCACACTTTGGTAATGAATATCACTCCACGGCACCAGAACAAGCGTGTACCAAAGAAGTGGAGCTAAAGAAGGTCCAGTACCAACAGAGCGAGCCTTTAACATGGGTCTGCTAACCAGCTTCGGCGAGCCCAAGTACCTACCACCCACAGCCCAGCCCCAAATGATGCTGCTCAGAGCTTCACCTTCTGCACCACATTCTCCTTTTGCAGCTGGCTTTGCCTCAGTTTTTTCAGCAACACAAGCCTGGCCTCCTCCAGTCGTAGCTCATCCCGAAGCTGTTTGATAAGCTGCTGTCGCTCCTCTAAGCTTTTACCCTGCAAACACCCAGAAAATCATTTAAAATTCACACATTTGAAACTTGCTGCTACGGATTGGTAGCAGGAAAACATCAGGAAGCAGTAAACAAGCAAGAGTTCGTACCACAGACAACTAAACGGGTTGGCTCATTATGACCAGAAGCCACTGCGTTATTCAGAAATCCTCCTTAGCTCCCGAGTCCTTCGGAAGCACTCCCTTCGCAGCAGAAGGGCTCCCCTCTGTAGTAGCCACTGCTCTTCCTGAGAGCACCTGAGAAATTCCTTACCTTAAACATTTCAAGATTTGCTGCCTTAAGTCTTTCTTCCATACGAGAGCTGGAACGGGGACTGGATGCCTCATTATCAGAGAGGACAATTATATCCGGTGATGGGGTTAATCGACCCCTGTCCTGGTCACTGCATAACAGAACGAAGAGAAAAAAGACTGAGCCGCGCCACCGAGGCATCAAGAGCAAACCTGCGAGTTGGAAAACTCCCCTCTGCCCCAGATCCACATTGGAGTTTGGCATTTCTATTTATATCTGCAGAGCTGACAAACACGAGCGACCCCCCAGCCTCAGAACAGGAAAAGCGTCCTCTGCTCACAAGCAATCACGGTTCGAATGGAAAAGGCTCATTCAAAATGTTTTCTTCACCAGGGTAAAAGGTGGATTGCTCTAAGTGCAAGGTAAGCAAACATGTGATACAAACCCTATCTGAGACAGGTCTATCCATGTGTTAATAATGAGCTATATAGTAACCAAATAGGAAGAGACAACTGCAACCAGGTGCTGAGATTAGAGGGAACAGGCAAGCATAACTGCATAGATACTTTTGCCTATTACTGCTCATACTTACTCAAAGATCACCACTGCTTGCATGACGCTTGAGATAAGAATAGGGTATGTCCCCAGTTAAACAAAAATGTAAATATTCCAAACCCATATTAACACAAGTCCATTTTTAAAGGTCACCCATAAAGGACAATCTGAATAAATATCCTGCACGGAGTCAGGAGATCCAACTGAACTGTGACCTAGAAATCAGTAAACGAAAGGAGCAGCAGCTACAACAGCCCGTTGCTGGAAAATCAATGCTACCATCCAGCAGTATCCAAGCACGGCATCCTTCGTTGTGGCATCATCAGAGCAAGGAGACACTAATAAAAGCCCTTTAACTACCACCAGTTTAATGTAATGGTGCTTGGAGAGCCTTGGAAAAATGCTAAATAGTCCAGTGTAAGTAGTAACCGTAGCTATAAAGGTATCAGGCATGTTGCCACAGAGGCAGACGGACTTATCGTTCCTCAGACTAGCTGGAAGGTCTTTGGTTTGAGGCTGCAGGGGGAGGGAGGAGATGCACAGATTATCTTATCTGAAACTTCTAGCTTTGAAAACCCAGAAGGAAGTACGAAGCTAGATCCAAATTCCCAGGCTTGACTGCTCCAAAGGCTTCGAATCCAGACAGGACATTCGGAGCCAGACACATGGCTCGCAGGGGCTTTTATGCAGAGGTTATGGAAAGCTCTGCCCTGAGCAAGAACCGCGTCCCGTGTGGCCGGAGTTGGACAGCTCTGCTGAGCCCTTGGCGCGGTGGCAGCTCGGCACGAGCGTTCAGCAGCTTCAGCTTTTGGACGCCGCAGCCGCTGCCGCCACCTTCACAGGCGTTTCTGAGCATTGGTGGTGTTTAGCTGCCTGCTTCTCCCTGACCCTACTGACCGGTTTACCCCAGATTTCCCATGAAGAGCTTGGAAACTTCACTGTCTGCACCTTTGGCGATTTCTGTGTTAGCAGTACAGGCCTGACCGTCCTGAACAGCCAGAGCACAATGTCCAGCCAGGGACAGGAGGAGACGCTGAAGACTGGTTTGGGTCTCGCTCCTGCACATCTCCAACGCTGCCGGATGGGCGAGTCAGGAAGCGAGCTTTGCTGCTCTGCGTGCTGCAGTCACGGCAAGCGAAGTCAACACGATCTACTGCCGTTAAGACGAGCTCTCTGCCAGCTCCGATGGAGTTAACAAGCCCTGTGAGATGAGGGTGGTTTGTCCACTGCAAATCCCATTGGTGCAGAAGAGTCTGTGGGTGGCTGTTCATCAAGGGAAATGCCCCCAGCAACATGGTTCCAAAGCATCCAAAATAAATAAATAAATACAAAGCCATGAAAGCGCTTTGCTGAGCCCAGAACTGGGGACACTGCTCTGCATGATGTTTCTACACATACTATTTTAGAGTCCTCAATAACCTCTTTGTGGGCCATTACAAACTTAGTGTCATATGAGCACAGTATCTTTTGATCAATAGATACCCTCTTCTTTTATACATCCTATTCGAGTACCCCACAGACACTGCACGCAGGACCCAAACACCAGCAGCTTTGAACTGCTGCTCCCTTTGCGGAGCCAAGGAAGCGATCCCTCGGCCGCGCAGCGGCAAGAGGAAAGCTGGTGCCTCCAGGAGAGAGGGAGGCGGCCGACAGCCCCAGCCCGAACGGCGACCACTCAGCGAGCGGCACGGCCGGGCAAAGAGACGGACCACGCCGCAGCGCCCCCGGGGCTGGAAAGCCGTGCAGAGCGGGAGGATGCGTTTCACAATCTTGCCTCCATATTTCATACGCGTTCATTCACCTCGCCGAGTTAAGAACAAAGCTTCTGGTGTTCAAAACCTTGCGCGTTGCACGTGCCGCCTGCCCGGCTCATTCCTGCAATCTGTTTGTGCCTTATGGCTTGCTGGTCCCCTTCGGTTCCCCGCAGCTGGCCTGTTCGAGACGCCCGTCTCCGGCTGCGAGCCTCGGGGCACACCTCTAAGCGAGGGACGCTTGCTCCCGACTGAACTCCCAGCGGGCTGCGCAGCCTGGCTCCCAGCAGCGCAGCTGGCAGGGAAGGCCCACGCCCTCCGACGGAGATAAAGTCGGCGCAGTCCAGTCCAGGCAAACGAGTCTGCATCCGACGAGTTTCACATTTAGCTAGCGAAGACCTGAAGCTCCTTCCTGATGAATCCGAGACAGCTCTCGAGTTGTCCATCCCCTCACGGTGCTGCTGGCCACCCAAAACGCCCGTTTCCACACTATTATTTAGGGCACGCCTATACACGGCACTGCTCTGCGATGAACGTGCCCTCGCCGCTCCCCACGGATCCCCCGTGGGCCCGCTCGCAGCCGACCCTTCCCCAAAGGGAGCCTCAAGTGCCAATACTTGGATGACCAAGCGCTCGGACAGGAGGCTCTGCGCTATTCCAAGCGTTATATGTCAAAAATAAAACGCATCAGGCTTCTGGAACGGCACTGCCGATTTTGCCGCCCGGCTCTGGGTGCGCTCGCTCTGGGTTTCAGCGTCCCAAACCGTGCACAAGCCAGGGAACGGACCGGCTAAAGCCAATTAAGCACCAAGCTTAGTCTTTGAGTAAGGCCGTCCACATCTCAGACTTGCCATGCCAACACGGCTACCTGGACTCAAGCAAAGTCCTTTCAGGACAAAGCCTGCGTGTTGAACGCTGCAGCCGCCAGCTCGCAGGCCCTCTCCAGCACCTTGTTCAGCCACAGCAACGGCTCCGCTCTACGAGATAACGCGCGGGCGGTCCGGCGGGAGAGGTAGCTGTCAGAGAGCCTGTGCGCTCGCCACATCTGCCCCCAGCTGCCAGGGTTTGGCCTCCTCCTGGAGAGCCCCCTTCCACCTCCGGCCACATCTCAAGCGCACCCAGAGCGATCGAGCCTGGTATTCCGGTTCAGGATTCGCCTAAAGGCCGGCTGCCGTTACCGCTTCTGGCGATTATTTTGGACAAGCGTTCGGATACGTCTGGGCTGTTTTATTTATTTACGTTCCGCTGACAAAAAAAAGCCAATGCCAAAGCCCGACAGGGGAAAACAGGGCCATCTGCAAGGAGGTGCTGGATCTGTCAGGATTGTTTTATTTACTTTTGTCAAGGCAAGGGCATAATCACAACAAAACTACTGGAAGAAAAGCTACGCTGGCGATGCAGGAGGCAGACAACAGCGAAAAGACACGGAGCGCGTTCCCCAAGCAAGCTCTAGCTTAACGACCCCTTCTCAACTGGATAGGAAAGGTAAAGACTACCTAACTGTATTTCTATTGCTAGAGACTTTTTCATGCTAAATTATTTCAAAATTTCTGGCAGTTCTCTCCTCCCTCTTCTTAGGGCTGACTGAATTTGAATCGTCGCTTACTTCTGAAGGCAGCCCTCTTCTCACGGTTACATCTTTCACCCCCAGCTTTTCCTCAAAACCAAATACATTACAAGAAATTCAGGATTTCAAGAACATGACCCAAGACAACTCGGTTGGCTTCCATTTTGCACGTGTCTATGTCCAGTTCTGGTGTCTGTCTAGATTCTCCACGTCTTGTACAACATTCAAGCAACTAGCTGCACAGTCTTCAACGTGAAGTGAGCGCACAGACAGTGCTTCTCCGGACCAGAGGCTTGCTCGCTATTTCTTCAGTAGGAAGACGACCTGTGTAGTAACCTACTCGGAGCCATCTCTATTCCTACAGCACTTAACACCTCTAGAGCCTAGAAACATTTGTGAAGTGGCTGAATATTATCTGTATTGCACACACACAGTCTCACCCAAAAGCTGTGAGGCAAGTGAGCCAGGGAGCTGCGATGGGAAGTCACGATTCCCGGGTCCACGTTCACCAGGCCATACTGGATCTCATCTTCAAACTATGAAACAACATTAACCTTAAGAGAACAGATCGGCTACAGGCAAAGTCGTAGCTTAGCGGGGCAGCAAGACTGCACAACACGCTCACATGGGGCCGTGCTTCTGCTCATTAAAGAAAAATAGTACAAGTGATTTTCTCCTTCCCACTTCTAGCACTTCAGGTCTATTCACCACTTCTGATTCTTTACAAGCCAGGATTTGACAGATAAGCAAGTGTCGATGAAGGCATTAATCTTTTATAACATACAATATACTAGGACTACCCACATACTGCAGCAGCAGCAGCGATCCCTTGCCTTCAAATCCCTCTTTCACCACCTGCTCATTAGGCTCCAGGAAAGGAGCCCCCAGAAATTCAGACAGCACACCCTCTTTATCCAAAAGCCACCATCAACACAAAAAAGCCCCCACACAATACAGCAATCAAGACAATTTAAGTTTTGCTGAATCACGATCCAGTTCCTTTTAACTTGAAGAAGAGAGACCGAGAACAAACAATGCTGGCAACATGCATCCTTTCACCAAACAAGGCATCTTTAAAGAAGCCACTAAGAGGAATTCATCCTGCCCTAATATGCAAAGCGTTTCTGCTAAAGAAGCCGACCTTCCAGACCACATGCAAAGCTGTATCCAACCAGCTGGGACGCGGGCACCTGACCGGCCTGTGAAGCAAGCAAGCTGCATCGCTGCAAAGGAATTACTACTGCCTCTTTTAAACATGCTTCCCTCCAAGTCATTACAAATACCTGGTTCCTCAATAAAGTGCTGTCATTCATTTAAAGCATCAAGAAAACATCCCAGGAAGGCCTAACACTCTGCACTTAGTTCAAGTAGGACTCCTCTGTTCAGTCACTTAGCCTGTTTGCCAAGTCTAGATTGACTCAACATCCAAGTCAAGCAGAAAATCAAAATCGTTTAACATTTGTTTCTCTCTCTCTCTCCAAAGAGAAGTGAAATAAAAACAAAGAGGCAGGATGTATCAGTGCTGCATAGCACAAGTTCTCACTTACAGCCCTGCAAACTCATACGCCTTCGCACAGAGCCTGACTGCAGGTGTTGACTGCACAAGTCAGGTAGCTAGAGTTCACCCATGATAAAAATCGGGCGTGTGTGCACTGTGCATCAGACGGATGCAGAGAACACAAGGAATACCAAAGCTTCTCCCAGAAAACAGATATAACTCACCAGCACTTGATAACTCGGGCAATTGCTTTTCATGGGCAGTCTCAGGCTCAGCAGGGAAAAATAATTACTTCTTCCTCTCAGAGTCACTAGCCTGGCCAGGGTCAGGTTCGAGAGTGACTGTCCATGCACTTGCATCAGATTTGGCTGCCAGCTAAATGAAGGACTTTAGCAGTCACTTTTGTAGATGCTAATAAAAACTAACTGGAGTGGGATCTCTCCTCCTTCACACACACTGGCAGGGGCTGCGTTGCTACCACCCCAACTGTTGTAACTTACAATACTAAACGCATGGATAAAGGAAGAGAAGAAACAAAATCCATCTGTTTTGGGGGTAAAATAAGGAGGACAGCAGAAGTAAAAACAATAACAGCACAGCGCTGACTGTTTCCAGAAAAACTCTATTGGGAGAGCAGCCTCTGTTGCTCAGATTTCAGCCAGAGGCACCTCACAGACACCAAAATACCAGAGAGACTCTCCCAAGTCTCCAGGACCATGAAATGTTGATTTAATTTCTGACTTGGGATCTCACATCTGGCTGAACAGAGGATTAATAATAGGCTAGCTACAAACTCCAATCATTTGGCACTTACCTTCTCCTTGCACTCATATCCACCGGCTCATCGTTAATGTTTTCCTTCCCTGGCCTCCCTGCAGTCCTGCCATCCCCATGGGGCCTAAGGCTCCCATTCAGCTTTTCTTCATAGACTTTCACACCATCCTGTTTCACTGGGAGCTCATGGGGCACCTCAATGCCTGAGAGGTCTTTCCTCTTCAGCAGCGCCAGCATCTTCAGGCGTTCCATTGCCTCATGTCCTTCCATTTTCAACCTTTTTGCCAGGACATCATCCCGGTCATCCGCTTGGTCCAAGCTCCGTTTTAAGAGGTTCAGGCGCAGAGCATCTTCTGTCATTCTGTCCATCCTGCAGGACAGAGGTGGGCATAAGAACAAAATCAGTATCATGGCAAACAGAAAACAGCTGTAGCAGACCTGCCGTAACCCGTACGTAACCGCTTGGTAAGGAGCGGCGCTGTGCATGGGCATTCCCCACGCAGCTTCGCTCCCCGGCCTCTGCAGACCTCCGTGCCCTCCTTTCTCAGGAAGAGTGTACCACCGATGCGGAGCCTGGAGACCGCCCAGGTGCGCGCATGCATTAACCTGTTAACAGCACGTTGCGCACTTTTGTTCCCAATCCTAAACCAGCCAGACAGGGAGTTTCCCAAGCAGCGTAGATTAACTGCACACACCTGAACAGCGAGAGCACCCTGGAGCCCCTGAGAACAGGGGTACAACCCCTCGAGATTAAATGAAGGTTGGCTACTGCATGGCAAGATTTACTAGAAAGGGAAGCTGAAAAACGCTAAAACCGTTCAGAGACACAGTCCGTGCTAAGGGCTTTTGTACTAGGAAGAAAAACAGATTTGGGGGGGTGTGGGCGGTGGGGAAGGGCAGAATGCTTTTTCCTTTGAAGGAAGCTCCTCAGATGGGGACCGAGTACTCCAAATTTTCTTCTAATGAGAGGCAGTCAAAAATTTCCTTTTTGAAAATAAAGAAAATCCCCTACCATGTCATTTTTCTGCAGTCACCTGCTCTTCAGTGAAGTCATCCTGCAAGTCCGTACGGAATGCGACGCACCTTCTCACCAAGAAGGTGAGTGCACACAAGACCGTCGCCACCCACTCGTACTCTTCCTTCCCCT